TATATATATGTAAAGATGACAAATATGTATCATTGCAAGAGATATTTTTACGTTTCACATTAGACAGCCATAACACAAAAAACTTTTAGCATGATGTGCAGGTCAATCACTTGTGTTTTTATGATGCAAAATAACTTATCATCTTATTTTTTTACTTGATGCTGGCTGCATGTGGACATCACAAAAAACATGGATTTTTATGAGAGAAATGAGCGACAGCAAACCTTGAGCTTATATGTTTCTTTCTTCTGCTTCTCAGATATGGCCATACAAATTGGAAGCTTTCACATCTGATTAACAGCAGTTTAACGCTATATGGTCATATGTGGTCAATCTTTCCTAAAGTTTATTGAAACAAGCTAGCTTCAAACTGGATTATGAAGATGGCTTATTTCAGACCAGTAAGTCACAGGCATTAAAAGTAATCTTGTTGAATATGAACAAAGCCATAGTTAAACAAAAACTGAAGCAAAAGCATGCCATGGTTTATTATGAAGTCCCAATGCAGCAACAATATAAAGATGCAAAGACAATACTATTAGATCAGGGGTCCAAGAAGAGATTATGTGACTGCATTTGAACTATGTGTAGATTCAAGATGGAACTTCTGTATTTCCAGTTTATCAGAGCAGAGAAATGGTAGCAGAATAAGTCATTTTCAGACAGCTTTATGAATGTGCTTTTAAGGAGGAAAGGTGTAGATCAGTTAATAGTCCCATAAAATGAACTTTATTCTAGCTCTTGGACCCCTGATTTATTGCACCTCCTGGAGGAGGATGAAACACTGGCAGCAACAACAATAGCACAAAACTTTTGGCATGTGAAATATTAACACAGGATAGATCCTGCATTGCCCCTGCTCTTTTGATTCCAAATTTTCTATTTTTGTCCGTGTGTTCTCTTTGCCATCAATTCTGTTCTCAAGCTTCTAGTCAGCCCACAGATAACACACATACATGCGCAGATGCGCAAACACACCCTCATGATGTGGGTGTCAGTTTTAAATACAATGATCCTCAGTTAAAGCTGTACAACTGAGGTAAACCAGTGCATAATTTGTGCTAGGAAACATCTGTACCCATTGGCTGACACCCTTCCAGCTTTGCTGGTCCTGCAGAAGTTAATGAAAAGATTTTTCTTCAAGGTAAAATTATAGAGATGTATTTGAGAATGTGCTGTCAGAACTGGTACCATTTTTTATCCTTGCATTTCAACATCATCTAAAAGCAAAACAAAGGAACAGAATATATAATAATGCATCTGAGAGAATACACAATACCATTTATTCTAAAGACTACAAAGTATCTATTATTAATGACATTATTAATGAGTGAATAAATAATTGAATAGATAAATAGTTAAAGTGGTATAGAAAAAAATGAACCTCCCAAATATAAATTGCATGAATTCATTTTCTTAGTTTCTGCCTATATCAATCAATTAATTTCAATAAAGATGACCAGGAAAGACCATTTGATCATAACTGCTGACATAATGGGAATATTCACATTCCTTCCCCAGAATATCCACAATGAACTAGTTTTCATGGTGCTCTATTCAAACTGGAAAGAATAAACCAAAAGAATTGGCCTTCTTGTAAAAAAGGCAACTGATACCGGGGAAGGACATACCTCATGTGCATGCTTTGAGAAAGAATCAGCACTAGTTAACATGGCTGTTGTTCGTTCTTCCAGCTCTCCCAATTTTTGCCCTCTTTCATCCAATGCTATTCTGGCTCGTGCCAACTCACAAACTATTCCTGATGCTGCTCCTTTGACTCCTTCAATACCACCAGAACCTGGTATATGCTGGGCAAGGCTTCTTGATGCCTTTCCAGCTGTGGATTCACCAACTGACCATATCAAGAAAAAAAACAAATTATGTTTGCATTCCTTTCAGAGGAGAACTTACTACTCGTAATCAAAATTACACATTAGGAGACATGAAACCATATACTTTATGATAAAACCAAATGAAAATTATGTGTTTAAAATTATTCAATAATTCTAACAGCAATATATAGCCAATATCTTATCCCTATTTAACTATATACATTATTTTAAAAATGTTATTTGAAATTACTTAGAGGAAGTTAATACACCTATGAATTGTATGTTCCTTATCCAATTCATAATGAAGTAGTAAACTACAAAGTAAGCCTTTTCTGTTACTCAGTTTGCCCTTTGGAGCACCCTTGCCCCCCAAATTAGATTGTCTTTAATTTGCTGGCTTTTCAGAAAGTTCTTAAGACCCAGATGTGTTCCAGGCATGGGGATTGGAGTGTTAGTTAAAGCCCTTGATGTGGCTTTTACTTGTGTAGATTGGTTTGGCTCCTCAACAGTCCTTTATGTTTTATATCATGTTCTTCACTTCATGAAGTTAAAATGTATGGATTTCAACAGCATTTTAAAGTTGCTAAATTTGAAAAACACAGTTTTACATTATGCTGCAGCATTGTTTCCAAATATAAAACAAAAGAGAAGGAAAGAAAAGGAGGGAAGTTGTAACAACGAAAGGTATTATTTCAACCACCTTTGTCTTTGTCTTTATGAGTCAGAAACTGAAAAGTATTCAGTAAAACTACTAATGGTTTGCCATTATTTTATTACCAATAAAAGAGAGATCAGTATTATTATATTTTAATAATATTATATGCATTGGAAGATTTTAAAAAGTCACTGAATATACATGACAAAAGTGGATTGCAATGTGTGTCAGCATAGTTCTGACTCACAGTAATTTGTAATATTTTGCTTAAATATAACATCAATACGTTTCAGTGCCTCAATTTCTAGTATAATCTTCTCTAACCTTTGTAAATTCCTATTGGTAAGATTTTGATATTTCTGTATCTTTTTTAAATTAAAGTTCTTTATTTTTCCATTTTCATAACATACAGTATAATCACATGTATACTATTACATAACCAACAACACATTGTATTATGAAATGTTTACATCAATTCATCTTACCAACGACTCCCAAAAACCAATTATTGGCTCTTCTGCTCTCCATACACCATATTTGTATTTTGTCCGTCACTTTCTTCTCCCTCTCTCCTCTCCCTCCCTAACTCCTTTCTTCCTTCTGTCATCCTTCTCTTCTCAACTTCCCCTTCCTCTCTCCTTCTCTTCCCTTCCCTTACCATTCATTTCTCTTCTCCTCCCCCCCCCCTTGCCCTCTCTCCTATCCCTGCCTTCTTCCCTTACCCTTCTCCTCTACTTCCCACCCTTCATCTCATTTACTTGGTGTATTTCAGCTTCTGAGCAAGCTCCCTTTTATGTTTTTGGTATTTATAATTCTTTTTCAATATACATATTTAATTTTTCTCCTCCTTTTTAGTAAAAAAAAAGTGATATAACAGAAAAGTATACTTTTCATTGTGCTTTTAACCCCCCCTCCTGCCCCCCAACCTAATTTTGGTCGAGCTGTAGACCTGGTTACAATTCCCAGCTATTATCATTATTATCTTTATATAGTTATACATCATTTTTGTATCTTGAACTGCTTTCACTTGTTGGAGATTAATAAATATTTTGCATTTATATTCAGAAAAAAATCCAATGTCTTTCTAATAGGTAAGTACTTGCAGAGATATTAATTTCTGTTTTTTGAGTACCTATTTAAACTTTGCATTTGAATTCTTTTAATGGTATTTTTTACATGCAACAAACTATGTATTCTGTTTAACACAGAAAATGGAAAATATATTAATGAACAATAATCTATAAGAAAAGATATAAATCCATTTATTTGTATCTATTCTAGGAGGAATGTTTACAGGATACTTGCTCCCACATGTGTAGTTGGACTTTAGTGCATCCCATGGAAACTAGAAATGCCTTTTTTCAGTTTTCTGTCTGGATGGAACTAAAAAAGTGTTTTAACAAAGACTCTATCCCATTTTTTAAAATTACGGACACTTTTAAGTATTGATACAACTGTATGAATTATATATTAAACAGAACCAACCCCATCCTTTTATAAATGAAGCAACTTGTATGAGGAAATAAACAGTATATTTCAGTAGTTTCTATTACTTCAATTTCTTTCCATACTTTCAGTTTATGTTGGACTGATAAATTGTGTTTAATTTTCTATTCCCCTCATATGATATATTTGTTTTAAAGAAAAATGATGAAATCAACTCACAGAGTTCTTCCCTGTCAAGTGATTGCGCACCACCTCCAAAGAGACCTTTGAAGAACCCTCTGTTTGGTGCTTCTGGTGTTTCTACAGGTGTGAAGAGCTCACCCAACATTTCCTTTAAATAAAAATCATTTTAAAGCATATCAGAAATTTCTTCTTGGATTTTATTAAAAGCAAAAGGAAGGCTAATATCCTGTGGCTATGTCTCCCAATTTTAGGGTCTCTCTTCAAATGTTTCTACATTTACAGTATTTTAAATATGTTAAAATTTGATCCTGTTGCTGGCCTGTAAAGGAAGAGTAGAACCAGATTCTGCAATAATCCAGTTCTGATTAGTGAGCCAAATTTTTTTTATAAGAGCCTGTTTTCTTCTTCTTCTGTGCAATCCTGATGGTCTGTGTATAAATTTCAGATCACCGACAAAACTTGGTTCTGTTTTTCCTGATAAAGCAGTCTGGTTTATTCAGGCAGAAATAGGAGTAAGTTCTGATAGCACACTAGCCCAGAATTCTGGCAAAGTCTTCCTTTGTGTAATTATTGTCACGGCAATGACTTGCAGACAAAGCTACATCACTATAATGGCATCACTTGGAGAGACACAAGTTCTGTGCCCAAATCTTTGTATTACTCCACAAAGTTGGAGGCTGTGAAATACAAAAATATTAAATAATATCTAGGGTGAGCCTTCCAATGCAAGCAGCAGGCCCTTTGGTGCCCAAGAAGGAAGAAAAGTATCCACTAGCTGCAAGGAACCATCATACCAATTCTCTGTCCCTTGTGCATTTTATATGAATTGCTTCCATCAAAGTGATCGTGATGAACGCTAGCAAAGTTGTTCATGCACCATTTGTTCCTATGATCATGAACTAGGAGGAACTAAGGAAAAGGAAGTCCTTTGAGGACTCTGCAGATCAGACTTCCTCACCACCTCTGATTTTTTTGAGCAAACCCCTCCTTCCCATTCATCCTAGAAATACTACACTATAAAGCCGGCATATCTTACCTTTGGCCCATGGGTTGCATGCAGCCCTAGACACCTAGTACAGTTTGTCCTCAACTTACAACAGTTCATTTAGTGACAGTTCAAAGTTACAATGGCATGAAAAAAGTGACTTAGAGGCATGTTGGCACAGTGGTTAGAATGCAGTGTTGCTGGCTAACTCAGTGCCAGGTGATCCTGACCAGCTCAAGGTTGACTTTCTATCCTTCTGAGGTCGGTAAAATGAGAACCCAAATTGTTGGGGCAATAAGCTGGCTCTGTAAACCACTTTGGGCGGGGGGGGGGGCTGTAAAGCACTATGAAGAGGTATATAATGCTAAATGCTATTGCAATTTTCACTTACGACCATTGTAGTATCCCCATGGTCATGTGAAAGAAATTCAGATGCTTGGCAATGGGTTCATATTTATGATATGGTTGCAGTGTCTCAGGGTCATGTGATCACCTTTTGTGACTTTCTGACAAGCAAAGTCAGTCAGGAAGCCAGATTCATTTGGCAACTTTGTTACTAATTTAACAACTATGGATGATTCATTTAAACTGTGACAAGAAAGGTTCTAAAATGGGGCAAAACTAATTTAACAAATGTCTTGCTTAACAGAAATTTGGGACTCAATTATGGTTGTAAGAAATGAAATGGGCAGCAAATACATTAAATAAATAAATAAACAACATGCTATAAGGCTTTATATATGTCTTCCTCACATCCTGCTTCCCAGTTTCCAATTTAGTAGACTTGCACAGCAACTGCATGTGCCTTTGCTTTGTAGCACAATGCCAGAATGCCTATATCCAAGTTGTACATTTCTCCAAGTCTGCCAGATTGTGCATTTTATATATCTACAGTTTGCGAAGTGGAAAAAGATGAAGATCCTTCTTTTCCCACCTCACTGAGGTGTACTAGCCAACCATTCCTCACAAAAGAGCAGTGCAGTTTTCAACCCCCTTGAGGGTTCGGGAAGGAATGTGTGGATGTGCCAATGTTCCTTGGACATCACGTTTCCATGCACAAAGCAGGTGTTTTGCAAGAACCTGGTCATGCTGGGTCAAATTTTCAGAGACCATCTTTGCATGGGCAAATCTGCCACCAATTGGCAACCTATCAATTTGATCAGAGTCCATAATTTGAGAATAATGGTTTCATCTTGTGCTCATCCCCAACTATTATAGGGTGTAGGTAACAGGATTTGATTTACTTTCTTCTGAAGGAAAAATACCCGGTATAATGTTACACTTGGATCCATTCATTTGAATACATTAAACTGAAACTTTAAGATGCATATAAAATATGCATGCTAAAAAAATGTATGCTGAGATGGAAGAGAAAACATACACTGCACAGCTATAATTTGTAAATAAATAACACATTCTTCAATAAATGCTTTTCAATAACAATACATTTAAAAATTACCTGCAGGTTTTCACATGTTTCTTGGCTATAAGTAATTCTCTGGATTTCTGTAGGTGAGACAAGATATAATGCCTGCCCATTGTTGGTGAAGCAAAATGTTCTGGCTATCCTCATGTTGGTAAGTGGTAAGTAATATACGTCCAATAGCGGCCTTAAACTTGGCAAACTTGAAAGAATAGAATTAAAATTTGTTAAAATAAATCACAGTATCTTATTCTAGTCTTCTTTAATAAAGCTTTATAGCATAATACATTTTATGGTCTCATTTTCTTTTAAAAAGTCATACATTGTTGACTCCATAGCAGAACTCCATACAAAATTCTGCCTAAACAGGTTTCAACGTGTTTAACAATGGGTCCATGTGACTGTGTGCATAAAACAATTCAACTGTTTATCCATGTTAAATCTTTTGATGTTAGATAATTGCATCAGATATATGGAAATAGTAAAGAAAATTTCCAGTACAATTGTTTAAATAGAATTTGGGAGCATATGCGTAATGATCTGCAAGAATGAATATGACTATAAATATGTACTGTAATTCTTTGGACTTTTCCACTTATCAGATGCAACTTCAGTAAATTAAATATCAGAATTCTCAATTATTGTATTGATAATCTAAATAACCAAACACTAAAATCCCAGGCTTTTTTTTGATGGGGGGGGGGGATTCTGATCACTTCAGAAAACTTCCATGTGATGCTTCTAATTCATAACCTACTCCCTTTAATTTCTTCAAGGATGGAACACCCAATTAAAATATATTAACAGAAGCTTCTAATATGATACAATAGAAAAGCACAAACAACTTTATCATTAATGTCACAGAAAATTATGTTATTCTTGCTTGGAAATACAAAGCTGTTCTAACTTCTATTAGCAATACTAATACACACACACACACACACACACACACACACACACACACACACACACTGCAATCTAGCCCTTGCTCCTGAGAGTTCCTACCCAGAAAATTTCTGCTACACAATCTGAAGAAAGTTGTCAGCAGAAGGAATCAATTAGACACCATTCTAATTCTGAAGACTAGAACAAATAAATCAAAATGTTTATGGAGGACTGATATTAGACGTTTAGCAACTTACTAAATGTACAAATATATTAAATTACCAAAAAAAAAGAATGTTTGAAAATATACGCTGATATAATTTTTTAGCAGTTATTCAACAGTATAACCCTAAACCTAACTGTGCCATTCTTCCCTAGGTTGTTTTAAAATATTATTGCTTAAGTCATAATATCAGAACATCTTCCCCATAAGAAAGAACTACAAAGTTTGGTGCTTTTGATCAGAAGCATTATAGAGATGGGTAAAATAATGATTTGGTATATGAAATGAGGAGAGAAATGTTTTAGTTTTTCTTTCAGATCTCAAGATAAAGACAATATATCCCAAACTAATTAAAAGTTTTTAATGTAATGCATAGTTAATAGTATTTCCTATTCTACAATGAGTTGATAATTATCAATTTAAATGCTTTTTAAAGGGTATATAGAAATAAAACTATTAAATAAAACTATTATTTCCTGAATTATAAATAACACTCTTAGTGGGGAACAAATGAAAAAGAAGCATTATTCTGATGTTTTGCTTGTGAGTTTCTGGACACATCTGGTTGGCACGCACACAGAATGCTTATTTGGGTGAGCACTGGACAGCAGAGGCTTTCTGGTATTCTTTTAGGCCTAGGGTCCCAATTAACTTTTTGCTGAGGCTTTGTCATAACCTGTACCATATGGAAGTGCAAAGCAAACAGTTATAAACCCCAATTGGAGGGGGGGGGAGACTTAGATTTTAAATCACTGTTATAACAGTTCTACGTCATGACACAGTTTTTAACTTTAATTTTAAATAGTTCAGATTAAATCAAGAAACCCACTCCTCAAAATGAAAACAGCAAAAAGAAAAATTCAAAAATATTATGTAATTTTAAAAATTCAAACCATATCACCCAAGTGAGCAAAGTATAGTTTTATTATCAAATTAACCAGAATGTAAAATGAAGGACTAAGGCATCTGTCTGCCTGCATGCACAAGAAAGGGAACCAAAGTATGATTTGCTCCCTTGCTTATCTACAGACAACACACAGGGCATTATAAAAAAGAATTATTTCTAAGGCAACATAAGAAAAAAAAACTGAAGTAAAACAGATTCTAGGGAATCGATCCCATCTAGGGACAGATTTAGATATCTATGTAACCATATTAATTTGTCCCTTCATATTTTTATTTTGTAATTTATTTCCAAGAGAACAGATACACTTTCTCCTTTTAGCCATTAACACCTTACCTAAAAGTCATTATATGTCCATTGGCACAGAAACAAGCAAGACAGATACTGTTACTGAGTGCCACTATATCTCCGCGAAGGACAAATGAAGTCTCTGTTATATTTTGCTTATAAGTACAGTTCTGTGAGGGCAGTGATATAACTTTTGCTTGCTTTTCGGAGCATATCACTGCATATTGGTTTTCAATCATTTCCTGAGAAGAGGATGGAGATACTGAGACAGGCCGACGTTTTTTCAATTTATCCTTTTCATCCTTGTCTTCAGGAACATTGTGTTCTCTCCAGGGTTCATATGCAGGTGGAACTATTGATCCTGTTGTGTCCAGAAAAGCCATTCTTAAGACTGCTCCTTTAAGTCTCAGAATAGTTCCTAAGATGAAGAAAATAGTGATATTTCTCAGTGCTGTGCATAGCTCAAGGGTATTTTCTTTATGTTTTAGTAGATACTTTATCTGTAAAATACTGTGATATCTATTCTATTCATAATAGACTACATGCATGTCAGACATAACACTTGAAACAGAAACTTTCTGAATTAAAAGTATTTTAAATAATTATTAAACTGCAAAACTATTAGAAACCTGGACAGCTATTCATAAACACAAAAATGAATTTCTAATCAGTTTTCACTTCTTGTTAAAGGAAACTTTGATAAGATAGGTAACCTTTGTTGTCACTTTTTTCTGTAAACATACTGGCACACATTAAAAAATGAAATTATACTGCTCATATATATGTTTAAAGGTTAGTTAAAGCTTTCTAAAATCTGAAATATAGAATCTCTTAGGAGGCCGGTAGATTTCCTTTATAGAAGTTTGAAAAACAGGTTCCCAATTATTGTCCCAATCTAAACAGGCATGAAATGGCATTTCTTAGTGGCAGTGGTTGTGCTGGGGCAGTAGCAGCCGGCTGAGACAGTTGAAGGCCCCGAGTCTCTATTTTAGCCTCTGCCACTGCTACTGCTTTGCACAGCAGCCAAAGGGGCATATGATTAGGGGGAAATAGGTAGCCAGAGGCTTAATAGACCAACAAAGGATTGGTGTCATGCTGGAGTATTGCTGCTCCTGTGTGTGAAATGACAGTGACCTTTGTCAGTAGTAACAATCTCTCAAGAAGAAGAGATTACACACAGCATCATTAGAATGTCTTTCCTTTCCTAATTTTTTCTTCTTAATGTGTTTTACAGTGAAATTTTACACTGATTTCATATTTTTATTTAAAAGGCTTTTATGGTTTGTTGACTTCTTTTACTTTTAAGATTTTATTTTTTAAAAAATATTTAAAGTCCAAATTTAAAGTAAATATGTACATTCCAAAACCAAGCTGGTGAAATCTTTATTAAAAAGATTACATTAAGAGACATTTATGATAAATTTCCCTTTTCTAATTAAATGCATACTGATCAAAAACAATCAGCCAAAGTTTATATTTCCCCTCTCAAATTTTTCTAAAAAAAAAAAAAAAATAGACACTTCTCTGCAGATTATTGCAGAATAAACTAAGAGTTAATAATATACAGTATCTTATCAATAATAGTAAAATCATTGTCTTGCTAGCTCATTGTTTCTTGTTAAATACATACCACTGGGGGAAACAATTACTGGTTGAAGCAGCCTTTGTTCTCCTCCTGGCGGTAAATTCAGTGCAATGACTAAAACGGTGCCTAAAGTAGTCCCAACCCACAAGCAAGGTGAAGGTGATGTATCGGCTTTTCGAGTGAAGGTCTCACAAAAGTGGAGAGCTGAAATTGCTTCTCGGGATTCCTTATCAATGCTTGTTACACTAGAACTTCTGGATCGGCTGAAGGAATTGTCTCTAACATCTGAAAGATTTTGCATTAATTAAACATGCTGCAACACAATATTGTTGTTTCTATTTCATACTTTACAGAACATATTACATACAGTATATCCACCTCTAAAATCTCAACCTAGTAATGTTAGGTTCATATCTGACATTACCTTTTTAGGAGTACGCTTAAGATTTTTAAATTGTATACCTGAAGTACATAGAATTGATAAAAATATATATTTATATATTTGGAAATGTAGAAACATGCTCATTAGACAGTTAATTGACTATAGCTCCCTATGAACTGTAGATCCAGTAGTGAACCTGGACATGTATGGTTTACTTAGGTCATACTACACAGTAATATTTTGAACAGAAGACTAGCCACCACGATAGTTTTCTCAAAAATAAATGTTACATTATACATGATGTACTACTTCAAATATACACAGCCAATTTCATTTTGATGAAAACTAGGTGCAGCACACTGGAATGGAAAACTTATTTCAAATCTGTGTCTCTGACACATACACACACACAAATATAAAACTATGAATTCCAGTTTTATTGTTGAACAATCATTATGATGGTATTTTTAATCTAATTTCAGTAATTTTGATTAGTGATACAAAAAGGAAATAATTATATGAATGTTTAATTATTGGAAACAGCACAGAAAAAACAAAACAAGCATAGTTTATCCAGAAGAAAATAAAAACCCAGACACTGAAACATGTATCAACAATCAACCACGTAACCTACTGAATATGGTTTTAAAGATGATAAGATTGGAAAAGATATGTTTACAGAATAGTAAAGGCTATTAAGATAGTGATAAAATATAGTAGATGTACCGAAGCATAATTAAAAAGAATTCATGTGAAAAATCTGTTTGAAGTTATTGGAAGGGAAGCAGCAAGTTATTTGTTCACCATCTTTTCAATATCATTTTGAAGATTTAGAGCCTGTCTTGTAAATTTATAATTTAATCTGTAGGAAGCAGACTGTGATAATTTTAGAGAACATACTGGATAAAAAGGTGTTTACCCTAGTAAAGCTATATTATATATATGCAATGTATACAATATAATAGATGCAATATCAACACATATTGTGGGGTCACAATATGCCAATTGAGTAAGCTTTGCATAGGGAAATAATATATTCCAGATGTGAATATTTAATTATACTATTTATTACTGCCTTAACCTAAGTTGTAAATTTAATATTTTTAAAAACAGTAATTTTAATATAGAGAGCAGACAATTGGATACAGCTATAAATATATTTTCTACTGTATAAGGAATATTTGATTGGGCAATTCTAGTGTGTTTCAAAATAAACCAAAATATTCAGTGAAAAATTAAGGCTCTTCTTGGATAAACTCATCACTCTACACTCTGAAAAGTACTATTTATTTCACTTTTTAAAAATATAGTGAAAATGAATGGAAAAACAGAAGAGCATGTTAAACTTTTTGGATATAGATTGACCCAAGTAAAAATAATCCAATGCCTCATAAACAGATACTACCCGTTCCTTGTACAATATGGCTCTTCTATAAATTTCTTTCTTACCTACAAACTGCAGTATATCCCACAAATCTTTTTATGAAACTTTCTAAAATTTCCAGAAAAGGTTTTGAGGCTTTCTAAAGAGACTGACAGAATAAGAATTGGATTGCTCCCAATCCCAATTCCACTTTTTCCAATAGAAAAAAAAATCTGTTACCATAAACAGACTTCTGTTTATACTCACTGCCCAGATCTTATATCTTTGGAACTATAAGAATTCTTGGTCCTTAAGATCAAAATGTTTTGCATATTTTGTTACAATACAGTCAGCATGTTTTTAGAATAGTGTTTTATAAACTGTTATTGCTTTTTAAATAAAATAAAATAATTGATAAAGAGATGAAGAATTACGAAAGTATCCATACAAAATCTTACCATAAACAAAAATTGAGTGTTTTATATAAAACTGAAAATATGAATTCAGCCTCTTTTCACTAAGTTGGTATGTATTTTTATTTGCTTTACATGATAAAATACTTTCTAAGAACTTACAAAGTAAGGGCAAAATAACAACATTTCAAGAGATTAGTTGAGTTGTCCATAAGTAATTTAAGGTAGCAACATGCTTGAATAAAGTTATTCAAACAGATTTTAAAGTGAGTTCACTCCACTTTATTACTGATATATCCTAGATAATAAAATGTCATAATAAAGAAATGTTAACATAAATTTCAGTGGGGCCAGGGTATATTTAACCATGAATTATATATCTCCATTATTTTAATGTCTCAGTATGGAACATGGGGATAACATCACCCGAAAAAGCTGATACTCTCCACCAAATTTATGGCTAAAGTGAGATTTGTATTTGCATTTTCCATCTAATTACTTATTAGTATTATTTATATCAAACTGAAAATTATGTACAATTTCTTTATATTCTTGTTTTCTATTGAAAGTAATATTGTAGGTTATGGATATAAAAAAATAAACTATGAAGAAAATTATATTTCTGTGGGTGAAATTTTCGTGGCTTTTAAAGAGGAACATAAAAGTAGTTCCAAGTTGAGGGCAAAGAAATTGTAAACATGCACTGCATCAAATCTTGGAACTGAACAATGAAAAATAAATGGAAATTTTCCCTACTTAGATGTGTGAAATTTCAAAATACACAGTGTGTATTTTATAGCCTTTTGAAAGAGTATAAACACCATTAATACAGGCTTTGAACAAATACTTACCTAACTCAGGTTTCAGTTCAGTTGGTAAGCTTAATTTTCTAGACATCTTTGCTGAAAAATAATGTATAGTTTTGTAATAAAACTAGAATTATTGTATTTTCAGAGAATATGAAAAAATTAAAATTGTCAGTTTTCAAATTCAGAATTCATATATTAGTTCTAAGCAAGGAAGTATGTGTATGTAAACAAATATTTATGAAAAGTTTAATTACAAAGGTGCAATGAGAGTATGACAATTACTTTTTCTGGAATTAAAGCAAGTTAAAAATACTAATATTTAAAATTATTAGATTTTCAAATGTCTTTATTGTGGCACATTAGATATTCTGATTTATATTTCTGCTCTCCCAAATACATATTTTAATCAATACAATCAAGATGGAGCCAAAGTTATTTAAATATATTTTTACAAGACAATATTCTGTCCCAAATATTGCAATTCTAAAATGGCAAAGATCACAGAAAATTGCCAGGTGATTGAGTCTTCATAAGCTCCTGAATGTTAGAAAGATTTTCAAATTTATAGGAAAATTAAAACACTACAAAGGGTAAAATATAGGGCTACATAGGGCAATTAGAGATATACTATGGGAGAAACTCCTAGCATATTTATAAATGATGCTTTTTGACAGCCATAGCAGACATTGGGATGAGTGAGCATTCTCCTTTCAATGACCCACTATTCTTACTCCTAGCTTGTATAGGGAAAAGGAAAAGAGGTTTTCAAAAAGACATTCTGTCCCTATTATTGAGGACAGATATAACCTGAATAAAGAGAATTCTATTATTTGGTTATATAATACAAGATTTATCCCTTAAAGCTTGCAGTTGCTAAGAATAAAACTGTTTCTTAAGGCATCTTGTGATACAGCTTTTTAAAAAATAAATAAATAAATAAATAAACATGTTTTACATCAATAAATAAGGCAAGGCCATGCTTTGCAGGAAAATAACATATTAAAGAAATACACTATAATGGTTAAAATCTAGAGTCAGAAAAGGTGTAAAAGAATCTAAATAAAAAAGCCTTGTAAAATAATTAGAACTGTAACTACTATAAACATATCCTTTTCATCAAGGATCCTTGGAATTACTGAACTGTTTCCAGGAAGTTCTACCAATTTCCCTTCTTCTTCAGGAAATACAAATTATGCTAATAAAAGGCCTGGGGGATGGAGCTTTCTAAGGCTGTTATTTGCTACTGCTTTTTATTTTAGAGTAATTAATTTGGCTTATAGGTAAGTGGAGTAAAATTATTGTTTTATGTTATGTAAAATCACAGTTTGGATTATATTGCGTATATTGCTTTATATGTTGTTAGCTTAAATTATAGTTGAAAGTAGTTGTAGAGTTTATTAATTTAAGAATCTAGGTAGCTTAATCCTTATTAAATACAATTTTGACAGAACTTAATACAATTATCTCTTTTTATTTTTACGGGAGTTTTCAAAATCCACAATGGAAAGCTTTTCACCATCCTGAAGACAGACAAAGACAGCAACACAGGTTCATACAAACTTGAATCCACACACGCAGTTTAAAAAGGCTAAATTTCTGTAGGCATTAGAAATCTGAAGATTGGAAATTATAATTAGTATACAGCAGTTCTCCATCTTTTTCCTATTAAAAAAATTGTACCTTTACTTCAACCATTAGTAAAATATTCAAGTATACTGCACAATAACCAGTAAAAAGTTTACACATGACCAAATAATCTCTAATAAATGAAACCAAAGAGTGTTGACTATTATCTGATTAGATTGATCCAAACTTGGAAATAGTGGCTATACACTTAAAACATACCCCATGATATAATAATCTGATTAATTTTATTCAAGTGTCACTCCCTTTTTAAAACTGCCATCCATACAGAAGGACATATATTAGGCCCAATATATTAAAAGTATGTTGGTATTGAATTATAATCAATATATATTAAAAGTGCTTATCAGGGCAAATTCTATATAACCCACAAAGCAGAAAAAAATTAAATAGTCACCAATGGAATAACATATAAGTCATCCATCTAAATCCTAAATACTGAAATAATAATTATATATCATATACAGTAGAACCAGTGGTGCGTTTCCAATTTTTTTTACTACCGGTTCGCTCGTGCGCACTCATGATTGACGCTTCTGCACATGCACAGAAGCATCCAGGTGGGTGGGTGAAGCCTCCCACTGCAGCTACTACCGGAAGCAACCCACCTCTAAATAGAACCTGTGGTCACGACCATAATTCGTTCCATAACTTTGGTGGCAACCTGATTTGGTTGTGACCCGAACCTAAATTCCACATTGGACTGTATGTAAATACGATCAATCCGTCCTAGACCCCTACGAACAATATATAAATATTGTAAGTATCCTGTTTGTCTCATTTGTTTTTGTATTGCCCCCTTCCCCATGTGTTTGTTCGCCGCCCTGAGTCCCCCCGGGAATAGGGCGGCATACAAGTATAATAAATACAAATACAAATATTGTTTTTTAAAAGATTTTAAAGCACAGAAACAATTAATTATACCATAGAATAGTAAAATAGTAAAATGTAAAATCCTTTAATAACACTGATAGATCCTCCTGCCATCCTCTCCGTCGTCTTAGGGGCCAGGGTTTTCACAACCTGGACAGGAGAGCTTGGGCTGGGCTGGCTTGCGCAGTGCTCCTCCTGCCTTCCTCTCTGCAAGGAAACCATGGTGAGAAGAAGCGGCCCAACACATGCCCTCCTTCCATACTCCAAAGCCGAGTGCCAGCCCCCGGAGGACTGAGAGGGGGTGAAGATCCTGACTTCCAAGCTGCCGAAATTCCCAACTGCAGAGCTTGCTTGGCTCTGTTCCCAACCCTCGCTATCCGTGCAAAACAACAATCACAAAAAAGCTGCAATCAAGACTTCTGCAGTGTCACATGGGTCTCCTGGGGAGGTAGGAGAGGAAAAGAGAGGCCGCCTGGCTGGGGAGAAAGTTAATCTTACATAACAAGGTAGAAGCCAGCATGAATGGGATTAAAGGGTAACTTTTAACATGTGGAATGGCAGATAAGTTTGTTCAGCAGATCAGGACTTTCTCTATGGCGTGGAAAGGAAAATTGGTCATGGCCTTGTTTGATCACCACCCAAGTATGCGTTCGTGACCAGATTCAAAAATATTGTGAATGTTTTGGTTGGAATCCGATTTGGTCGTGGTGAGAAGCATTCGTGTCCAGAGGTTCTACTGCATTAGATTTTCATATGTCAATTAAAAATTTTTTAATTGACAGATGGAAATTTTGATCGCACTGAGAAAATCTGTACTGGCAAAATTTCTGTCATTCGATTACAAAAGATAACACTACTTGGAATACATACTGTATATTACGTTGCTACGTTACAATATCCCAGGTTCTTGGGAGAATTTGATGTGTAAGAATGCCATACCAACTAAAGAACTGGCCGCTGAGATTTCACACTGTTGTGTATATAACGATTTTATTAACAATAGAAAGTTTTATTAAAATCTATTGATTTAAAATTTTATATGCAAGACTATTAAGTACACCATTTGCTACTTTTATTCTCAACTCTACTCAACTAGTATTAAATACAACCATACATTGTTTGAACTAATTAGCATCATAACATCATTTGTCAAACTGATCTCTCCATCTTGTCCCACTTATAGAAATTTATGATAGATTTGATCCAATGCTTTCCTCATTTTATACAGGAAAAAAAATTACGTTGCCTACTTTATCATTTTTGACAGACATTTGCAGATAAAAATTTTATTTGCTGAAGTTGATTATTGCAATAAGGGTAGAAACTGAACTAGAGATGACTCTTGCTTAGATTTGCTTTCTTACCGTCTTGTTGTTAACAGGATGTTTGGAGAATTCTACTGTATCTACATCTGTTTTGAATGGGACTTGAGAAAATAGTATTTATTTATTTATTTATTTATTTGTAAATCTTAATAAACTTCCTTATGGCGTTTGAAACTGCCAATCATTCTCTGGAAATGAAAGTTATTTTTCTCTAAAAACAAAACTTCATGAGGCTGGTAGCTGTAGGAAGCACTTTTTGATAGACCTGTGAATATGAATTTAAGCATTTCTAAAGATTTTTAATCTTGAAAGAAATCTTGTTTAATTTTGACCCTGGGAAAAAAAGTAAAAAAACCCCACCATTTAATAATATAAAGTGATGCTATGAAACATAAAACATGCTTATATAAATCTTGATTTCTGATAAATTAATATAGTTGAACATATATCCATGTATGATTTCTCCATTAAATAACTGGTTAGTAAAAACCCAATTATAATTTACAAAGTACTAATGGAACTAAAATAAGATTAATACACTGAAAGATAAACACTTTATCTTTCAACAAAAAATTTGATGCTTTCTTTCCAAACTATTAAATTTGCTATGATATATTTTGAATCTGAAGAGCAAACATAGTGGAACGAAGTGCACCTTCTAACTTTCCTTGACTTACATGAATCAAGAAACCATTTTCTTGTTTTTCACTGCTATCTTAGTGCTCTGAGTCCTACTCAGGCAAGCAGGAAAACAGATAAAGAGTGAACCATATAGACATCAGGCAAAGAAAAATGAATTCTTTTCTCTTCTCTTATGAAAATGAAAATATCACTCCCCACTTCCCAAGAACACTAATTCTAACTCTTATTTTAAGAGGACCATGTACAGAAGTGGGTTCCTACTGTTTGGCCTGGTTCGACCGAACCAGTAGTAGCTTGGTGGCCTGGATTGCTGGAACTGTCAGTCACCCAGGCCTGCCATGCCCTTGAACCCGTGGGGCCATAGGTGCTGCCATCTTGTTTTGTGCTTCTGCGCATGTGCAGATAATTTTTTGTTGTATTGTGCATGTGAGCACAGTGTGCATCAAGTGTGTGCATCAAGTGTGTGCAGGGCATATCTTTAAGCGAACCAGCAGTAGCGGCTGCTGGAACCCATCTATGACTATGTGTCGTAAGCATAGCAACTGGAATAATTCAGTACAGAAAAGACTTGTAGTTGCATTGGTATTAGGTATCATTGGATACAAAAGTTTACAATATCTAGAAAATTTGTCATTTTTTTTCATAATTCTAAAAAAATAAAATCCCCCCCCCCCCAATTCCTCAGTCCAGTTTAATTCTACCAATTCTTCAGGAAAAATGTAAATCCCTTTTGTGGGGGGGAGGGGAAAGTTTCTTCTTTCTTTCCCCCTCCCGAAATATTAGTTTTGCAACTATTAATCTGGAATAATTAGGTGACCAGAACAACTTCTCCATTTATATATTATTTAATAGAATGAGTATTTTTTACTTTTTTCTGATACTTAGTCAAAGCAATTGCTGCAAGTAATCATAAGTGTCTTTATTTTGAGTAGTTTTATTTTAATTGTAGATGACACCAGACTAATGGAAATGAACACGTTAAAGCTAAGTACTTTTATTGCTTCATAAGTATTATATTACATTGGAACTACTGAATTTACTGCATTTCCTATTTGATCCATCCATCTTTCTCAGTTTGTAGCATTATCTGAATGGCGCAGGATCAATCCAGAAGAACCTAATATTGATGCTCCTAAAATAACATATAATACATTTTTAAAATCTATATTACACTGCTAGTACAACATAAATGTATCTAGCAGATTTGGTTATTATTATAATATAGGATTTTTCAAAATGAAATATACATTTGTTTGTTAAGAGTGCTTATCATTCAATGCTGTTAATATGATTTTAAAAATGTATTTCTGCTATAATACCCATCACCATGAACTTCTACTGAATTCTAATTTCAGAAAAACTATAAGGTAAGAAAGTAACTGATTTCAACACTCTCATCAAAACCTGGAAGTTATTAATAACTGTATCAAACATGCAACCAAATATATATAAATTATTTGAACATTGTCTAAAAAAAAAGAGATAACTTATTAATTTATCAGGTGTGCTATAAAAAGTCAAGTTTTGAATGAGCCAAGCTCTNAGTTCAGAGCACATTTCATGACCAATTCATGCAAAACTCCACATAATCCCAAGGGGTTCACATACTTTTTCTTTTAACTGTATGTGTACATGCAATAATGTACATAGAAAGTCTCTACTGGATTCAATTGTGCTGTCAGAAGATTTGACATATTAGTTTGGGATCTGGTGATGGCTATACAGAAGAAAATCCTAAATCAACAGAGTTTCTATTTGGAAGGCCTAAGCATTAACTATGCTATTTATTCAGGGTCTCACATTAATTATTTTTATTGTAGTCTTGAAGTAACCTTTTTATAAAATCCGTTACTGTAGCATTTCATGAATGACCAATAGTCCACCGTCACTCATTTTGTAATGATATGTATGATACTTCTAACACTTTCAAATGAACATGCAAGCCAAAATATTAGATAGTCTGGTACTATAGTAATACTTCACTTTTATTATATATGTTGTCCCAGGGCAAACTCAATTTTACATTTTAAATATGAAAAACCCTTAAAACATAAATCGTTCATATTGCAATGATACTTCTTGAATTGCAAAATACACAAAAATTGTTATTCTGATTAAAGACTCTCATTTGGTTTACAGAGTCATTAAAAATAATTCCAATAATGGAATTTGGCCAGGCCTCTCCATATACAAGGAAGAATAAGCCATGCTTCCTTTCATCACAAAAGCATAAACTTTTGTTTTCTTAGTTTGAATCATTCAAATGTCTTGAAAGATAACAGGTTGGAAAAGACAGTTTATGCTTCATTTCTATTATAAACCTTTTAATTTCACTAAATGCTGCATTTGTGAAAAATCAGTAAAAATTACAATTTAATGAATTGTACATAATAGAGTTTACACACTTAGGGTCAAACAGTTTTTGCTGATTAAAACCAGATGAAAAGCCTATTAAGCAATGTAATAATGGGAATATCTTTAACACAGGAATCAAAAACTATTCATATCTCATCTTCAATTTACCCTTTAAAGATTGAAACTGAACCCAGCACAAAAATGAAATAAGACGTTGGCAATCCATAGATAAAATTGGGGATGGGTGGGTTGTAGTATGGGAGATGCTGAGGTAAAACTGTAGAACTAGAACAAAAAATAGCACANAGCAGTGGATACTTTTTATAGTACTTTGGTATCCCTTTCCCTCCCTGCATCTCAGATTGCTGTCACTGTAATAATTCAGGCTACAGGAAAAATGATGGAATAGAATGAAATAAGTGATTGCTACCACCCAATAAAATTAAAATTGATAAAGGTATCATTACACTCATACATTGAAGAAATATGACAAATAATCATTGTATTTAATTATGAATATTTTTGATACCATCACAACTTTTTTGTTTTTATTCTAGATCCCACTTTGATTGTTACATCTTATTTCCAGAATTTATATATAAAAAATCTTGGATGTCTTCTATATTAAAAATATATCATTCACATATAAATTGAAGCTGATGACAAAGTAAATTATCACACTCAATTGCAAACTTTTGTTTCTGATTAAAGAAAGTATGCTTCTCAATGATAGAATGATAGAAGAAATTTCATATTTGCCTATGGTTAGAAAAACACTGCATGAAATTTCTGGGATCTAAGTTTACTTGAAACTCATATGTCAAGTAATTAAAACACCTCCCCTACATACTGTAATTATTTTTGTTGCCAATAGTATACATAAATTATAAGTACATAAAAATGGATATGGTATAAGGATAATTCATAAATTAAATCAAGGACAAACTTTTCACCTGACAAAGATGTTAAGAGCACCACATACTTGCTTGAACTGTATATATGAAAAATCATTGTGAAGTTCATTATGAAGTACCATCTGGAACCCAAAAATCAAAGAACACTTACCCCCAATCATATAGCATTTTGAAGTATTATTTAAACTATTTGCAAATTTAATTAATTACCTGAAGTGGGTGACTTGCAACGATCCTCTTGTACTGTAGTACTTTCATTGATATCACAAAGTCCTGCTGCAAAACAAAAAGCATATAATAGACTTTTTCAGATTTTTAACAAGATTTAATTTGGAAAATAAAATACACAAGATTTTTGTTTATTGAGACCAAGTGTACAGGGCGGGGCATAACCTTTTCCTAGGGGGTCACAGCAAGATCGACAGCAGTTTACAACTTCCG